CATGAATCAAAGACAAGAATGCACGCCTTGGGGAACACCGGAGCAGGAGCACCCAAGCACATTAGTGAGGGGCGGGCGGGATGGGCGACGCAGTCGACGATTCGAGGGAAGAAGTGGACGGGGAGTGAGGATGACTTTGGACGGGCTCGGCTGCGTTCCGTTGCGTCTCCAGCAGCGATGACGACGACGATTGCCCGCCCCAACTCTGCCGCGCCACGGTCTGAGAGGGCCAGAGAATGTCGAAGCGAGAGGGGCGCGGGCATAGCAACGCATCAAGAGGGCGCAGACACCGGAGAAAGCAAGGTTCCTGACGACGGGGACCTTGGAGAAAACAAGCTTGTAAACGGGCGTGGCAAATGGGCGATATAATTGCCGATGAGGAGCGTGCCGGTGGGGCGCGATGGGGTTGGATCCCGATGTTGTGGAATCGCAGCTGTGCGCAACTGTGGACGTCTCCAAATGGGTCTCTGAAGTGAGAGGAGCTTCGAGTTTATGCATCAACGCCCGACGCGACGGCCAGCCTCGCGCTTCTGAAGTTTTCCCGTCACTGCGACTTGCCGGCGTGTCGGGGCACCTGGGGCGCGTGCCCAGTCTAGCTATGGACCGAACTAGTTACGCGCAGTGCGTCGGGGCATCCGTGGGCCCGCGGGAATCACATTGCGCTGCGCTGCGTGTTAACGCGAATATAATTATCTGGAGTGTAGCACCCCTGCGGTTCATCTGGAGCCCAGCGCGTTCACCTCCAGGGTGGCCCGCGACGCCATTGCGGATGATGTTGCGGCGCGAGGAAGCGCGGACATGAATGGGGGATAAAACGACACTGTTCAAGGACGCTCTACAGCGCAAAACCTGAAGGAGTATCATTAGTTGAACATGCATAAGGCGAAGGTCACTGGAAAGGAGGAAGGCCCACCTAAGGGAGCAGACATATGCATGGCCGACGTCCCATATGAAGAGACCGAGCGAAGAGGCCAGGAGTACATCGGGATTGACTACGCCAAGCTCCAACGCGAGGGCCTGTCGATCAGATGACTGCCGGCGACCGTTTAGGCTGTGTTAACTCAAAGTATCCAGGCCGGATAGTCTCGGGCGTTCCTCGCCGAATGCCCTCGCGAAGTTCTGGGCCGCCTCGGAGCTCATCTTCGGGTTGCTCGCGCCGTGGGCCCCGGCCCGAGTGGCCGAAGTCAAAGGGGAAGAGGGGGGGGGGGGTCAGGTGCGGAGCTCGCGCCGCCGCCGCCGGTTGCGCCCCTCCCGAGGATTGATGGGGCACGTCGACGCCAGGGGCGGTCGAGGACCCAGCAAGCGCGCTCGGCGCCCCTTCACCGGGGGGGCCATGCGCAGCTAACTGCGAAGGCACTCATCAAGCACAGGCCAGGGGCGATTCGCTAGGGCGCGAGCACGATCCGAAGTTCACGCGAGACGCCATGGGGGGGGGGGGGGGCAGATGGAGCAGTGGCAGAGACGCGAGGTCTGCGAGCAGGTTGCGGAGGAGGAGTGCTGGGCGGATACCAGCGAGGCCCCCATAGGCGCCAGGTAGTTCGATTGCAACGCGGGCGCGACGCCAATCCTGAGTGCGGACCTTTCTTGGTGGCTCAGCAACGCAGGTGCACTTTCGCAGAACAGAATGCATTTGCAGCGCCCGAGTGGCGTTATTCCATGGTTTCGACCAAGGAAATTCATTGGGCGCGCCCCGGGGGAGCGCGAGACCAGATCCAAATCTGTGCGCGAATCTGTTCATTGCGCATGCTGTTGCGCCGAGGCAGCGCAGGCATCTCCATCCGGCTACCCGAAGAAGACGGCGGGCCGGGCGCGTGGAAGACTGTCAAGAGTCAATATGCACCACAGAGGCCGCCGCCAGCAACTGGGGGAAGTGTCCAAAGGTCCTTGCGCGAGACACCGGGTTGGATGACGGAACAGCGCTTCCATGCGCGTGTAAACGTGAGACGATGCAAATCTGGCGAACGGTCCATGAGGGTGTCTACACGTCATGGAGTGGCGACGTCAGCGCAAAATATCCATCTTGGGAGAAGCCGAACATGAATGTCACGCTTCGATCCGGGGCAGACTCGGAATCGACCCGAAAGACTAGAAGTGAATCAGGAACAGCAATCGGATTGCACAATGGAAATGAGGATGGGCTATAGCACGGGGCAGGGACTTGCGCGTTGAGATATGTTCAAACAGCGCGGCCCGGGACAGCTCGCGGCGAGACGCGAGAGACCGCGTGGCGAGTTGCTGTATGAAGAAGACGTGGCGGGGGGCCATTGCCAAATTGTTGGGCTCAGAAATACAATTTGCCCAATTACAGTGGAATTTGTTCCCTTTTGGAATTTCACCAACACTGTGTGTGCCTGTTTCTTTCGGGGCCTCTTGGTTTCGATGCAGTGGTGTGGCTTATGGGAGGCACAACTTAAAGTAGTTGTGGGCCCCCCGGGTTCCATTGGCATTGCTGTTCCCAGCATATGCTGATTATTCAGTTAGCTGTCAAAAATGGTGGAACGCACACGAGCTCACGTGGGGTCCGGGGGGTGAGTGGCGGTCGCGCCTTGTACCCCTGTTTGAAATTTCGATGCGGTGTGTGAATTCCCATCACCAGATAAGCACAATACTTTGTTCGAGTTATCCCTGTCATCACTAAACTTAATTATCTATGTTGCGCGGGGCTCGGAACCGCCAGTCTGATATACACGTGGACACACATATCTTAATAGTAGCGCTCGGCACTTAATCTTGCAAGGGAGGGCGGGGGCTGGAGGGGAGGGCGGGGCTCACTACAAATTGTTGACGCTTTGCGTATCCCCTCCAGCCCATCCGGAAATGATGCCCATGAGAGCTGACTGGGGGGAGGGAGGAACATACGTATATTATAGTCAAGCAGCGCGGGCAACAATAGTGAATTGTTTTATTGGAGGCCTCTTGGGGCGTCCGGGGGGTTTCTTGGATGCCTCGGGGGTGCTCTTGAGGCCTCTTGGGGGTATCTGGGGGGTCTCTTGGGAGCCTCTTGGACGGCTCTTGGGGCCGTCTGAGCGGCCCTTGGGGCGTCTGGGGGGTCTCTTGGCCGTCTTGGGAGGCTCTTGGGCGTCTTGAGTGCCTCGGGGGAGCCTCTTGGGGCCGCTTGGGGCCCTCTTGGGGTCCTCTTGGAGGCCTCCTGGGGCCATCTTGGGGCCATCTTGGGGCCATATTGGTGACTCGGGGCTTCCTGGGCGCCTCTTGGGGCCATCTTGGAGGAGATCGATCAAAGAAGGGGGAGTACTTAATTAGCGTTGCCCCTCCAGAACGCCTCGGGGGCCACGGTCCTTGTGAGGGGTGTCAAAAAGTAAGCCTCCCAGGTGCCCGTGTTGGGCCATCTTGGACGCTCCAACCCCTCGCGAACCCCCCCATCCAGGTCCAGGGGAGGGGGTTAGGGGGAGGGGTAAACCCCTCCCCAAAGGGGAAGAAGGGGGTTGGAAGAAGAAACGCTCTAAACCACCTACGCCCAAAGGGCTGGTGGGATTCAATGGTGTTGGTGATGGTGTGTGTATGTGGTGATTACGGTGGTGATGATGGTGCGCATGGGTAATTGTGGTGATTGCGATGGTGATGCTGATGAGAACATGTACTGTGGAGGTGATGGCGATAGCAATGACAAGGACGTGTGTTGTATTGGTGGTGATCATAATGGTTTGATGTTAAGATGGTTCTGATGACAAAGATGATGACGATGATGCTGACGATGTTTTTCGCTGTGGTGGCTACCACGTTGAATCCATTCACAGAGGCGGCAGAGTCAACGATGACGACTCGCTTCAGAAACGCATCCAATGTGAACGTGTTCTTGTGGCCCGCAAAACCGGCCATTTCCCCTGGAGTGGCCAAGACGAACAACAACCCCGGGCGCTCTGCCGCCTTTACAGCAGGCCAGTTGGAGCGTCCAACTTTCCAAGCACAACCCCGCGTGCCTGCCACGACTTTGTCCAGGAACTTGCAAAAACAGCCATGGCTAGCAACAGCGCCAGGGCTTACGAATATAGTTCTTTTGATGTGAAACACTGGCTGCATTTTGAGAGCTGTCCCCCCTGCCCCATCGGAGAGCAGCAAGCCCGGGCTTATCTGATAAGCACCCCGAACCGCCGAAGCAGCGGTCACACGCATACTTGCGTGGCCTGGCGTTTTCACGACAAAAACGGTGGCTGTGTGGGATAGGCCCAGCAAAATGCCATGCCTAGCGAGAGCCGTTGCTAGAGGTTTACTTCTGACATCTTCCTCGACAAAGGCAAATGCGCCGCGCAATGATTTCAGAACGCAGCTGCCGGATGTTGCTGTGAGTGCTGCTTGACAACGTGATGTCTTGCGTTCCCTCGCTTGCAAATCCTTGACCCTCTTGTTGGACTTGGCCAGAAGAGAGCGCTTGAGCGCAGGTGTGACTTCATGCTTGAGCAGCGTGTTTTCGCCTAGTGCGTCCACGGCCTTAGTTTGTTCTTTCTGCTTTTGGAAATGTAATTCTTTGTTATGCGAGGCGCTCCAATCGGCGCCACGCTGCACAACGCTTGTCGGCACATAACCCAACTTCACAGCAGTCGGAAACTTACTGGCAGCGGATTCGGCTGCAGCGCGACGTTTTGCAATGAACGCCTTCTCCGAATTCATCGGCGTCCTCCTTTTGACGCCCCTGCTGAAACGGCCAAGGGGGTTCTGCTTCCGCGGAGGCCTGTAGGCATTCTGCCATACACGCTGGGCACAAGGGATAAGCTTCTTGATGTCATGTCCAGGCACATCTAAACCTAATTTGACAACCAACTCTTCCGTCCCAGGGCGGCACGAGAGCCTCTTGCTACCCATAATCTGATCACCCTTACTGAAGTCTTGCTCAACGCCAGATGTGCTTATACCGAAAGCTGCCTATGCGGCCAACGCCTTGCCAAGAATGTCAGTGGGATGACACATGGCCAGCGGATGGCGGCGGGCTTGGGCGAGAACCACCGACCACGCGTCCACATTTGATGTCGCATTAGTCCATCGAGCCCGGGCTCGAGGGAACATGTTTTGCCACTGTGCGTGGAGCTGCGCTCTTGGCAAGACCGCTCGCCCCCCGTCCAGGGAAGCAACCTGAACCTCAATGGTGGCATGAATTGGCTAAATATGTCCCTGGAAATTGGGCTGATTCGGCCCCATGATAACCCGCGGGGACGGGTGATCGTCGATCGACATATTGAAGCCCGGCCGACGTTTGTTTTGAATTGGGCTTGATTTCAGAGACTATGTACAGAATCAGGGGCATTTTGCGAGCCAGATGTGGTTCCTAATTATGTCGTAACTCACTGAGGGGTGTTCGGAGAAGGCAAGAGCCGTCACATTGAGGGCTTGTGCCAGCCTGGCGATGTGGTCCCCCGGGTCCTTGTGCATGGGCTTGCCCACGTCGAAAATCTGGAATGCCTGACACTGAGCGGGCATCCGAAGAACCAGTCTCACGCACTTCGCGGGCATACGCCATTGCATTGGCAATTGCGTCCGCCCACGAAGCCACGTGGCTCATGGAATCTTCCGACCCCCGCGCGCCTGCGATATTTCCCAGCTGGGGAACTCTGCCCTCAGGGATGCACGAGCTAGAATAATCCATGACCTCATCCTTCCAAGGCACCGCTCAATCACATCGTCCCGAACTCCGCTTTCATCCCCCAGAACGCACGTTTCATTGCCGACTTGCCACACCAGTTGCTTTTTCAGTAGAGCTAACATAGTGGACGTGTATCCAAAGACAACCAAGCATTGATTCTCACAGAAGAGAGCGGTAATTGATAGATTGAATGCGTGAATCTCCGCATTCAAGCTTGCCGGATCCAGCTTCTCAGTGTCCATGCTGCGTGTAAGTGCCATCGCTTGATCACTGGCGTCCGCCATCATGGCGGCCATGAGGCACCTCTCACAATTTATCCACAGCAACCACTTTTTTGCGCGATCCTTCGCATCAGGATTGTTGGAATGAAGCCAGATATGCAAGGCCGTCCGGATACAAGCATGCAAGTGCAAACACGTTCTTCCTATTGGTTTTTGAAACGATTCGAACCGATGTTTCGCTGCACGCATGTTGGTGCAGGCCGAGTTGACAACTCCGTTGGAATGCTGCTTCACGTACATGTTGAACACTTGACGCAAATGAACGCTGTTGTGTACCATCCGTGAAATAGCACCACGACCTTGGGCGGTCATCATGGCAACGTCCTTGATGTAGGGGTCAGCCGCCCAGGGGCGGCTGACGATTCTACGTGAGGCGTGAGCCTTATCTTTGAGTACGAATTTCAAGTTGGGTGTCAATACTCCAGCAACAGAGCCTGCCAAAGAACTACATCGCATGATCTCTGCACTCAGCGTCTCATCACCAGCAGAGTCCACTGCCAAGCAGAGGACAGATTTACACAGGTGCTCCAAAAGCCCTGGTACTTTTGATTCTTTGCCAATAAACGATGTATTATGTGGCGGGTCATGCATTGTTGTGCAAGCCCGTGACATAATGTTTTTTGTGGCTGAAGTAATCTGAGTCGCACCCGAGCCAAAGTCCCGCTGGAGCCCCAGCGTCCCGGAGTAGATTTGCAAGGAATCATTCACTGCGCGAAAGCGGAGCAGAAGCCTTCCATTACGTTCATCACGGAACAATGATATCCATGTAGATTATTTGATTGCTTTTTGGTCTTGTTGTCGCATGGCCTCCAGGAGACACCATGCAGTTCTCAGTTTGAGTGATGAGTTATCGAACGCCCTCCCACGAACCATATCATTCGCCAATGTTTCAAAATATGTCGAATCAGGACACCCGGTCAAAACTGAGGCTTGGCCAGATAAGTATGCGGTAGCAGCTCATTTGTGGTTGGGGTTGTTTTGGTGTTTCTGAAAGTTTACCGATTGGAGGGCTGACGGGGACGCTACTTCAAACCTTCCGAATGGGCTCCCCACGCCTGCCATGCGACATGCAACACAACCGACCCCGCCTCCGAACTTCCACCTGCTGCGGAGCCATGTCCCGCTGGTCACGTCACCAGGTCGGAGAAGAACCCTCTTGGACCAGACAGGGTACAGTCGATCCCATTTGACTTGTGCCTCCCACGCGGCAGTCTGGATGGTGCCCTTTACCATGCCATGCACCAACCAAGCATGAAGCCGAATCAGCTCATGGGCTGGGAATGCCAAGGCACCTGAAGCCGAACCAGCTACTGAGAGATGTGATAAGACATCAATTACAGTTCCCCCCTACATACATCTTCCAGCGACGCCGCAATTCCATGTTTAAAGCCTTGGCCGACGGCACCCAGGGGGATATCGGAAGAAAACATTCATCCAAAACGGACTTCCGTGAATCCCCCAATCCCAACGATGTCTTGAAGGGCATTGCCCAACATTGCCAAAGGTGATGGAAGAAATGACGCAGTCAGAAACTGGTAGAACGTAGTCAACGGAATGGCCGAACGCAGCCACAAATTGATGCACAACCCAACTAATCGCAGAAGTACAGACTACAATCATGAGTGTGGCACGGGTGCGAACATTGAAATGACGATATTGAAGATTATTGTGATTATGATGTGATGTTTTTTGTTGCCGCTGCCAAACATACGAGAGCTCGCCACACATGCGCTCCGAATCAGAGCGGCGATGAATCATAGTAAGCGGTTGTTAGCCGAAACAGCTTGGCACCGCGCCCGCCGGGGACCCCATAGATGGAGCGGATTTGGTGATTTGGTGATTACGCCACCACGTGGCTCATGCGAGGGTACACGCTCTTCTCCTTCACGAGACCGGCGCTCCACAGGGCCTCCTGTAGCACCACGCCGGCCATGTTGACGGCCACGGCGTTTCCTGCCATGAGCCCCACCTGGCGCTCGGAGATGCCCAACTCCTGGTAGGGACAGTCCTCTGGCTTGAAGCCCTGGAGCCTCAGAAGCTCCGGGGTGGTCAAGCGGCGGCCACGCGTGGAAGCCCATGGCCCCCCGCAACCGCCCCGCGAGCGCGTGAGCGTCTTGCAAATGTCCACCCCGAACGTTTGAAATTTCTCTGACGCGTCGACGTCCACCATGATGTTGACCTTCCTGGCATCATGCCCGTCTCCATGCGCCTTCCTGTACGCCGCCTGGCACCGCTCCTTCTCGCGAGCCTTCGACGGGAGCCTCCCGGGCTTGTCGTACGGTAGCTGCCGGTCGAGAATTGTGGCGACACTGGGTGTCTTCATGTTGATGGTGGGCCAGCTGAATGGGCGCTTGATGCAGTCCTTGCGGATGCCCACAATGATCAGGCGACGCCTATCCTGAGGCAGCCCATAGTGCTTCGCGTTCAGGACGTTCTTGAAGACCTCGTAGTTGTTGTCCTGGAGGAACTTGAGGATGCCTGCCATGACGGGGCGATGCTTGGCGTGGGTTAGGGCCTTCACGTTCTCCATGATCGTGAGACGCGGCTGCTTCATCTTGATGTATTTCATGGCACGGGCCATCAAGGCCCCTGACCTCTGGGGTCCGTTCTTACCAGCCCCTTTGCCGATGGAGCTGAAGTCCTGGCAAGGGGGCGTCCACAGGTAGAGGTCTGTGCTGGGGTCGGCGTCGGCCTCCCTCTCCTCAATTCCCCCGTAGATCATGTGGGGGTTGTGGACATAGTGCAAGACCTTCCTGCACGTCACGTTGGTGTCAGAAGCGAATAATTCTTCATGTGGAACATTCATCCGCTTGAGGGCGGCACTGAAGGCGTCCATACCAGAGAAGTCGCTCCCGACCTTCAGTGTCTTTGGACAGCGAGGGCGGCGCGTTGCCCTCTTTGGAGAGGCAACTGCGCCGGGTGCACGGTTGAGAACCATGACGTAACAGAGCGCGGTGGGGGTAGGCGCCCGACACGCACGCACACACGTTTTTGCTTTGAGCAAAACGTGTATACGGATTAGTATTTGAGATGTTGTGAATGTTAATCAATGACATTACCCCAGTGCGACCCTACCTAGAAGTTGGAGCCCCTAGGACAGCAGCATTACTTGCTATGCCATGCCATGCCATGCCATGCTATGCTGCGCTATGATATGCTGTGTTATGCCATGCTATACTGCGCTATGCTATACTATGCTATACTATGCTATGCTACGCTATGCTATGCCATGCTGCGCTGTGCTATGCTGTGCTATGCTATGCTATGCTAAGCTGCGCTATGCTATGCTATGCTGCGCTGTGCTATGCTGTGCTGCGCTGTGCTGCGCTATACTATGCTATGCTATGCTATGTTGCGCTATGCTATGCTATGCCGGGCTATGCTATGATATGTTGTGCTGCGCTATGCTATGCTACGCTCTGCTATGCTGTGCTCTGCTATGCTAAAGCTCGGCGAAGCTAAGATGAAGGTAAGCTAAGCTAAGATAAACTTGAGCTAAGATGAAACTAAGCTAATCTAAGATGACATAAGCTAAGCTAAGATGAGATAAGCAACGCTAAGTTAAGGGGACGTAGCTGGGGGAACCGCGGGGCGGATGCCAGGGGAACCGCCCGGGGCGTTTTGCACTGCCCGGCTCCTTTAAGCACAGACGGTAAGAACCCTTCTAGGCAGAGCCTAGGTAGGGAATGAAAACGATGATCACAATGGTAATGTAGATTTCACCGATGTTTGCGAAACAAATGGCACCTCGTTGCCGACATCTGTGATGTTGAAATGAAGAAGTCACGTGTAGATTGAGCGGGCATACAGGAGGGATGACGGTGGGGGATGATTCCTTCGGGTCATGCAAGTGCGGACGTGTTGATTCGGCGTTAAACAACAAGCCTTGTCTTGGGGGACGCGCTGGGTCGGCGTCAAACGTCATTACAGGACAACGCCACGGGGCCAGATTGACATGTCAGATTGAACGGGGGCAAGGGGTGGGCCGAATTGAGCACTTCAACGGCGGCACCGAGCTGCGAGAGCCAGTTCAACGGCGGCACCGAGCTGCGAGAGGCGAGACTCAACCGCGGCACCAAGCTCAGTTCGACGGCGGCACCGAGCTGAGAGGCGCTCAACGGCGGCACCGAGCTGCGAGAGCCAGTTCAACGGCGGCACCGAGCTGCGAAAGGGGGTTCTGCAATATTGCAGAACCCCCTCTCGCAGCTCGGTGCCGCCGTTGAACTGGCTCTCGCAGCTCGGTGCCGCCGTTGAACTTCGCCTCTCGCAGCTCGGTGCCGCCGTTGAACTGGCTCTCGCAGCTCGGTGCCGCCGTTGAATTCCGCCTCATCTGAACGGTAAGCGCCCGCCTCGGCAACTGGTCCGGTGCAGTCGGTGCACCTGCGATCCCCCCCAGGGGTGCGAGAGGAGCGGACTAACAGTCTGCTCCTCTCGCAGCTCAGTGCCGGCAGTGAGCTGCGAGAGCAATGGGTAGACCTCTCATGTCTGAGCAGACTTCCAAGTGGCCCCAAACAGTCTGCTCTGCCTGTAGCGGGCCAACCCTACCACTCGCAGCTCAGGGCCGGCAGTGAGGTGCGAGAGGAGCGGACTAACAGTCTGCTCCTCTCGCAGCTGCGGTCAGCCTGCACCAGCATGTTGGGCGCCAACACCTCTAGAAGTAACAAACACACCTCGGGAGACAACAGACATCGATATGCGCATGAGGCCGATCTTGGGCAGGGCGTCTCGGACATCCTGGAACTCTTAATGCATTACCCCCTCCGTTCAGACTCAGAGTGAGGGAGGGAGGCAGGGACGGATGGAAGGAGGCAAGGAGGTGGTGGGAAGTTTTTTTGCGCAGCTCAAGCCGAAACAGCTTGCCAAAATGCCACGCCACATGCGTGTACCGTTCTACGATGGCTGCTGCAGAAATATCTTACGCAGCGACCTGGAATGCCACGTCCTATTATAGTACATGCTGTTTGTGCTGTCTGGGTACGCTTGCTGCTTCTGTAGATTCGTGTTATCTTTTGGCACGCCTGCTGATTTGTTGGGCTGCTTCGGCCCTCGGGCTGTTTCGGCACCCCTGGCATTACTAGGACATGGCATATGTGCTGCGTCTGCGCTCGGAAAGCTACGGCTCACTTTTCTGCGTCCGGATCCCAGACATCCTCATCATCGTCTTGCTCTTCTTGATCTTCTGGTGGCCCCGCTTTGTCCTCCTGGTCGTCGACGCCCAGATCATCTTCCCCATCGTCTGTGCCCTTCGGCTTGGGCTTGGGCTTGGCCTTACCCTTTCCCTTCCTGGGCTTGGGCTGTGGTTTCGATTTGACCTCAATCTCCTCCTCGGCGTTGGTGTCCGGCTTCACCGCCTTCGCGTAGGATGAGTTCCAGAGCTTGCTGGCGGGGTTTAGCATCTCCTTTTTCATTAACTCTCCGAGACGATCATACAGCTTCTCTGCATGTGCATCTGTATATGCGATGCCCACGTACCCCACTCTCTGCTTGAGCGCGGTGAATGCAAATTTACCGTCAGTGGGGGTGAGGTCGACGATCGATTTCGCGTAGAAAGTGTATATCAATTCGTCATAAAATTTCTCTGGCATCGGATGGTAGCACATAGGCACCCACGTGGAATCAGTCTTGCGCTCGATCTGGCGACGATTGCTCATGCACATCATGGCTAACCCTGCCGCCTTCACCCCGTTGCCGAGGAGCGACGACGGAAGCAAGGCTAATCATATGTGAATGTGCAATCCCCATTGACCTGACTAGGATCGACGTTGTCCATCTCCGTCTTCCCCCCCACAGGGATCATATGCTTCTTCCCCAGCACGTCTTTTTTGTCTTTCCACGCCATCTTCCATTCCTTGGAGATGTCGGGGGCCTCGATCCCATAGATCGTGTCTCCGCTCGTAGATCCTGGCCAATGCTTGCGGCTGCGCTCTGGGATGCTGATCTTGTTGTTCGACATCATGATGGCTGTCTCGGACTGTTGGACGCTGGCCATGCAGCCGCGCGCCTTCTGCCTTCGGGCCTGGAGCGAGCTCTCCGTGTAGATTAAGTTGATGTTCGAGACTGTGAAGTTGGGCTTTTCCTCATCATCATCGTCCACGGGGTCCTCTTCGTCATCATCCTCCTTCTTCTTGCCGTCCTTCCGTGTACCCTCCCTCCAAGGCGCCTGCAACTTGTTTGCGTTCCCCCGCCGGCCTCCGTCAAGTACCACCGCCACCTCTCCTGGACGACGATGCGGCTGTCCACCGGCGGGTGCCCTTGCGTTCAGTACCGACTTGACGAGCTTGGTATAAACGACATCCCTCAACGGGCTGATGCGGAGCTCTGGCCTGGTGAGGGGTTCTCCATGGGCTTTCACATCGTAAAAATATAGCACCAAGCCTGTAGGGTCCCCCTGCATCATGGCCAATGGTGAATTCTTGATGGCAAGCTCGATCTCCGCCTGCGATTTCTTGCCCTCCACGATAAAGTTGATGTAAGTCCTCACCGTCTTGTCGACATGCTGCTGCCAATGCTCCTTCTCGGTGGTGCCCAGGATCTCGAAGCCCTCTGCTGCCGCAGGTGCCGCCGAAACAGCGGAGCCCGCAGCCGGGACAGCTGCGCCTTCTGCCGTACCAGCAGTCTCTGACCCACCATTCTCGACGCATTTCATAGATGCGGCGCGCTCAACGCTGATCATGTCCGTCACCTCCTTGATGGCTCCCGCGACGGAGTCGTAGGCCATGAAATCTGTCACGGTGCATTTAGACTTGATCGCGTCACGAAACCGAGGGTCCCAATTCACAGTGTAAACCATGTCCTCAATCATTTCCGCGGCCGCTGCGACCGAAGGCGGGACACTCACCATCCATGTGGTGTCCGCGTGTGAGCCAGGATACGCAGTCATGTGTTTACGAACGCTCTCGAAGTCGGCCAGCACTTCTTGCAGCTTGGTGGCGAACTGCGACGCGATGCCAGACTGCGGGAGCCAGTTCTGTAGCTGACTCTGTAATCTTGCAGCTTCTTGCCCGAGAATTCTCCGATGTTGATGCTCTCCTGATCCATGTTATTTCACAAGAGTTCCCTACCTAGGCTCTGCCTAGAAGGGTTCTTACCGTCTGTGCTGAAAGGGGCCGGGCAAAGCAAAACGCCCCGGGCGGTTCCCTTGGCATCCGCCCCGCTGTTCCCCCAGTTACGTCCCCTCGCGTTGCTTATCTCATCTTAGCTTAGCTTACTTCATCTTAGATTAGCTTAGCTTCATCTTAGCTCAGGTTAATCTTAGCTTAGCTTACCTTCATCTTAGCTTCGCCGAGCTTTAGCAGACCAGAGCACAACATAGCATAGCAGAGGGTAGCATAGCACAGCGCAGCACAGCATATCATAGCATAGCCCAGCATAGCATAGCATAGCATAGCATAGCGCAGCATATCATAGCATAGCATAGTCTAGCGCAGCACAGCCCAGCATAGCACAGCGCAGCATAGCATAGCATATCGCAGCTTAGCATAGCATAGCATAGCATAGCCTAGCTTAGCATATCACAGCTCAGCATGACATCACATAGCTTAGCATATCATAGCATAGCATAGCATAGCATAGCAAAGCATATCATAGCGCAGCATAGCATAGCATAGCACAGCATAGCATAGCATAGCATAGCATAGCGCATCATAGCATGGCATAGCACAGCATAGCATAGCAACTAATGTTGCTTTCCTAGGGGCTCCAACTTCTAGGTAGGGTCGCACTGGGGTAATGTGTTGTTTTCCCCCACCCCTCCCCTCCCAACCCACATACCTGATGGCCTCAGGACATGCGTTGCATTTTCTGTCAACGTCCCAGCGTCCATGCGGTACAAGTCGGTCATCCCCCAGATGGCCCAGCTGATGCGCGAGGCGGTCTGCCCGCGGTCCACCAGCGCCTGGAGGGAGCCGATTGTCTTGAAAGGGTAGTTGTCCAGCATGTTCTCCTCTGCCCACTCAAGGTGCCTCCGTGCTTGTGACAGACTTAAGACTCGTTTGTATACCGTCACAGCGCTGTCCACAAATGAAGCGCTCAAGGGCTTCTGGTTGCCAGCGAAAGTGATCTTATCAGTATATAGCTTGTGCAATTTCTCGCTGCCGATCTCCTTTGCCATCTCTTTCTCCATTGCTAACTTCAGGCCAACTACGTCGTAGATCCACTGCCGTACGCTCAACTGTGCGATGAATCTGGTCTGGATGATTTGTTGCCTGATGTTCTGCGCGCGCCAGTAGCGGTCTTCGCCCGGCGAAACCACCTCGAATGAGAAGGGGGCCGAAAGCAGCGTCTTGCGCCACGCCATCAAAACTTCATCGCTCTCCTTGTTCCGGATCGCCGACTCCAGACTCAAGATGGTCGCGAAGACAGGCTCGGGGTTGCTGATCCGCGCCATGCCGCCCTTGTTCTCCATAATGTCCGCGGTGGCGTTGTCGACCGCGATGACGGTCGTAAATGGCAGCTTGGATGGTGGCGAGCTTGGGCACAAGTGCATGCGCTGCATGTCACGGACCATGCCCATGTTCACGGGGACCCTGTGATTCGCCATCCAAACAAACGATTGCCAGAAGAAGTTCCCTCCACAGTCGTACGACACGGCGCCGTTGTTGTCTGTGTTGGACTTCTTGAGGACCGAGTTGAACGAGCCGTAGTTGTACGGCTCTTGGGAACCACCCTCGGCGATAGTCAGCGGGTTCATCTGGTGGATCTCCTTGAAGATCGGGTTATCGTCGATGATCCTGATAGCGTCGTGGATCTGCCCCACGATCCCTGCACACATGTTGTCCGATGCGGCCGCTTGCTCTGCATGAGAGCGTGCTATCGCAAGCGGCTCCGTTGACGTGTGACTTTTAGGCTTGGCCTTAGCCTTCTTCTTAGGATTCTGAACGGTCTGGCCGCCGGCGCTGTTGCGCTTCGGGCCCATCTGAAGTCTGTACAGATTCACTTGGTGGAGACTTGCAACTCGACTGAATGGCCGAAGCAGCCAAAGCCGAAATGTGCTACGGCATTGAGGCTGAGGATACGTGGGAGGAGATCTGGATGTGAAGCTGGTGGAAAGAGATGGCGGAAAGCTGGGGGACTCAAGGAAATAAGAAATATCTCTATGGGGGCCCGCATCTTTTGGAACACCGCCAAAGGGCCGATGCAGCCAAGGCCGAAGCAGCCGCTACTCCTGCCTGTGTTCGCCAAACCCCTCCATGGCAAATCCTCCACCCCGAGCCCGTACTGGAACGACCCGCCTAGACAGCCAAGGGGGCTCTTGATCACTTCGACTGGCGCTGATTGCGATTCTGCCCTTGATGATGTTTTTTTTGTCTTCAGTCAGGGCTGATAGCACAGACAGCCCCGGCAGCAGCAGCAGCTACTGCAAGATGAAATGTCTTGTTGTCTCTTATGCATCCAAAATGACTGCCTCTCATGGGCCACCATGCTGCTGTACACATGGGCCCTCGGGATGCTGATGACAGCAAGGCCTGCACAAGTGCCGCGGGCAAAGTGCCCCAGGCTGGTTGCGTTGGCAACCAGCACACATCTGCAGAGGGATGAGCCTCTCTGCGGCGCGTGGCTCGTCGCCGCTGTTGACGCGCATCCTATGTTCTATGGCACGCTGCATCTTGCGAGCGTTCCACGACTCCGAACCTTGAGACCTCCACTTGCGCCACGCCGCCGCTGGCTCGCCAGCGCTGAGCAGATGGGCGGGCGGCGGGCCGTCAGGGAGCCGCGGCGCGAGGCTCAGGCCGCTCAGGCCGCGCGCTGCGGTTGGCGCTGCGGCGGTCGGCGTTGCTACGGCGCCGGCGGCTGCCGCATCAGCAGGGGTCGACGATGTGGGCGCTGCCCCCTGGCTCGACGACGATGCCTGCTGTCCACCAGCTGCTGCAGCCTGAGCACGAAGGGTCTGGAGCTCCTGGGTGATGTGCTGGACGTGCAGGCTCATGACCTCCAACTGCGTCTCGAAGGTCGGCTTCACATAGATGTTCCTCGGCGGCGTAGTCGGCGCAGCAGCCGCAGCAGCCGGCGTGGACGGGGCTGGAGGCGCGGCCGTGGGTGCGTCAGCACCACCAGGAGGATCATCATGATGATAATCAGCATCGTCGTCGTCATCCGCAGCGGCGACTGGCAGCCCGCGGCCGATGGAGCCCACGTGCCAGATCACGTCCTCCTCCAAAGTCTTGTAGATGCAGTGCGTGCCGTGCTCGAAGTCCTGCACCGGCGGGCACATCCTGCACAAGAAGACCCAGGCCGCATCGTTGAAGTCAAGCTTCAGCAGCGTGGCGACCTCCTTCCAGGAGTGTGCCTCCACGAATCTCTTCTTGAGCCACGGCGGCCAATTGTGGATGCTGCCGGCGGGCTTGAGGGCCTTGAAGTGGATGACCGCCTTTGTGGCCAAGTCAACTAGACCCACTTGTGCCCCATCCTCCCTTGACCCACCCCTGCGGCCTCGCCGAAAGGCGACCTGCTCGGGATTGGTCAAGGGAAAAATGAAGGAGGTGGGTAAGTTGACGTGGCAACTCACCTGCAGAGAGTCGCCGCTGTTGCCCCAGGGATCGGCCAGGCACGACCACAGGCAATCGCACTCGTTGTCGATCATGTGGCTGAGCTCCAGCCGCGCGGCCACCTGCCCCTTGCCGTTGGCGCCGTGGGTCTCCGTGACCAGGTGGAGCTGGGTGTTGATGTCCCAACCGAGCCGAGTCAGCCCGCACCATCTCATGAATCTGACGACCCAAGCCTCAACCTATAAGGGACGATGCGATGAAGCCCAAATCGTCAACGCGCTATCAGCAAGGTGTCCAAGCTGGTAGCGCTTTGACGTTTTGGTCCCCGTTCGAATCAGCCCTTGACACCTGTGTCCGCCGGTTGGGCACGTACCATGTGCCGTTGTTGGTCCGGCTGATCACGAACAAATTCTCGGGCCCGTGCTCGCGCACAAAGAGGAACGCGAAGGCCATGAAGCCGTCCACGACGAGGTCCTCGAAACCATCGCCTCTGGAAGAAAATGTGGATTTGTGTTATCCTCATTTTCTTCCTCCTCCTCCTCCCCCTCCTCCTCCTCCTTCTCCTCCCCCTCCTCTACCTCCTTCTTCTTGTCGTTCTCCTCCTTCTCCTCCTCCACTTCCTTCCCGTTTCTCCTCCTCTTCCTCCTGCTTCTCCTCCTCCCCCTCCTCCTTTTTTCCTCTCCTCCTCCTCCTTCTCCTCCACCTCCTATTTCTCCTTTTCCCTCCTCCGCAATGAGGGCCACGCGCGGATTCAAATTAGACCTCGCCATCCCTGGGGGGCTGCGATCTGCGAAACTGCCGCCATTTTCGAGGCCTGCTGGGGGGCCCAGCACAGTGAGGGCCACGGGCAGATTCAAATGAGACCTCGCCATCCCTGCGGGGCTGCGATCTGTGAGCCTGTCGCCACTTTCGAGGCCTGCTGTGATCCCCGTTTTCGAAGTGGCTAGGAGTGCTCAGGAATTGTAAATCATCAGCTTTATCAAGCCCTTTTCCTGTAGCCAGTGTCCTGCGAGTCTCCCGAATTCCGTCTGCAGACATATGTAACCCTCGCTCCGTCATCGCCCCCTTATAAAGTATCCTAAACTATTTGCGCCCCGCTTTTGCGCAGGGGTTGGGTACGTCGCCAGGGTAATTTTTCCCAACCCTCCTTGGTTGGGTATTCGTTTTGAATAGAGCAGTGTGGTCGCGTCCCTCCTCCCTCCCTTCCTCCTTTTCCCCTCCCGCCTCTTCCTGTCTTGCCCGCGGGGGGCTGCGATCTGCGAAACTGTCGCAATTTTCGAGGCCTGCTGGGGGGCCCAGCACAGTGAGGGCCACGGGCGGATCCAAATTAGACCTCGCCATCCCTGGGGGGCTGCGATCTGCGAAACTGTCGCCATTTTCGAGGCCTGCTGGGGGGCCCAGCACAGTGAGGGCCACGCGCGGATTCAAATTAGACCTCGCCATCCCTGGGGGGCTGCGATCTGCGAAACTGTCGCCATTTTCGAGGCCTGCTGGGGGGCCCAGCACAGTGAGGGCCACGGGCGGATTCAAATTAGACCTCGCCATCCCTGGGGGGCTGCGATCTGCGAAACTGTCGCCATTTTCGAGGCCTGCTGGGGGGCCCAGCACAGTGAGGGCCACGCGCGGATTCAAATTAGACCTCGCCATCCCTGGGGGGCTGCGATCTGCGAAACTGTCGCCATTTTCGAGGCCTGCTGGGGGGCCCAGCACAGTGAGGGCCACGCGCGGATTCAAATTAGACCTCGCCATCCCTGGGGGGCTGCGATCTGCGAAACTGTCGCCATTTTCGAGGCCTGCTGGGGGGCCCAGCATTCAGTGAGGGTCGCCACGAGGCCTGCTGGAGCACAGTTTCAAATTAGACCTCGCCATCCCTGGGGGGCTGCGATCTGCGAAACTGTCGCCATTTTCGAGGCCTGCTGGGGGGCCCAGCACAGTGAGGGCCACGCGCGGATTCAAATTAGACCTCGCCATCCCTGGGGGGCTGCGATCTGCGAAACTGTCGCCATTTTCGAGGCCTGCTGGGGGGCCCAGCACAGTGAGGGCCACGCGGATTCAAATTAACCTCGCCATCCCTGGGGGGCTGCGATCTGCGAAACTGTCGCCATTTTCGAGGCCTGCTGGGGGGCCCAGCACAGTGAGGGCCACGCGGCGGATTCAAATTAGACCTCGCCATCCCTGGGGGGCTGCGATCTGCGAAACTGTCGCCATTTTCGAGGCCTGCTGGGGGGCCCAGCACAGTGAGGGCCACGCGCGATTCAAATTAGACCTCGCCATCCCTGGGGGGCTGCGATCTGCGAAACTGTCGCCATTTTCGAGGCCTGCTGGGGGGCCCAGCACAGTGAGGGCCACGGGCAGATTCAAATGAGACCTCGCCATCCCTGCGGGGCTGCGATCTGTGAACCTGTCGCCACTTTCGAGGCCTGCTGTGATCCCCGTTTTCGAAGTGGCTAGGAGTGCTCAGGAATTGTAAATCATCAGCTTTATCAAGCCCTTTTCCTGTAGCCAGTGTCCTGCGAGTCTCCCGAATTCCGTCTGCAGACATATGTAACCCTCGCTCCGTCATCGCCCCCTTATAAAGTATCCTGAACTATTTGCGCCCCGCTTTTGCGCAGGGGTTGGGTACGTCGCCAGGGTATTCTTTTTTACTACTATTACTGCTGCTGCTACTACTACTACTACCACTACTACCACTGCTATTACTGTCACTACTACTACTACTACTACTACTACTACTACTACTACCACTACTACTACTATTACTACTACTACTACTACTACGACTACTACTACGACTACTACTACTACTACTACTACTACTACTACTACTACTACTACTACTACCACCTCTACGAGCACGATTACTACTACTAGTACTACTACTACAACTGCAACTACAACAACAACTACTACTACTACTACTACTACTACTAGCACTACCTCTACTGCGACGACTACGATTGATAATGATAATAGTGATGATAAATTATTACTACTACATCGCGACTACGACTACGATTACCACCACCACCACCCTTACTACGACGACGACGACGACTACTACCACTTTTACTACTACTATCACTGTTACCAGTACTACTATTATTACTACTACTACTACTACTACTACTACTACTACTACTACTACTACTACTACTACTACTACTACTACTACGATTACTACTACTAATATTATTTAATCGCTTCGCTCATGCCGCCGGCCCTGGAGCCCTCTTTAGGGCCTCTTGCGGGCCTCTTGGGGACCTCTTGGGAGTCTCTTGGGGCTCCTTGGCGGCGTCATGGAGGCCCCCAGGGCCTCTTGGGGGGCTCTTGGGGGTAGTCGATTGCGGCTCCCCCCTCGGAGGCCACGATCCTCGTGAGGGGTGTCGAAAAATACCCTCCCCTGGAGTGGTCTGGTGGCTTCTCCCGGGCT